GTAATTTGAAAATCATTAATTACCCATACCCCTAAGGTTTAATAAAAATATATTAATCACGCATATTTAAATGCATAAATTCAGCACGAATCAAGGGGTATCAAATTGTTAATGAATTTATTGTTATCTCTTAAAGTCCTAAGTTTGAACATCGCGTATGTCAATGATATAAACATTTATTGTCAAAATATGTAGGGTATTTGAACAAATAATATTCCTACATTCACCACATGTTTATTAAAAAAAGAAGGCATAAATCAAATGTTTGAGCATAAGTAAATGGAATTGTACACTAAATTAACGAGTCTACTCCCTCCCTCCGTATTTGAGTTTAATTTCAAACTAGTTGGTATTTAATAAATATGTCCATGGAGAAAATGACCTTTGACCTATTATAATTAAATTAATGAAGTAAATACCGATATTTCAGGAGATCTCTTTTAATGTTTGTAAAGGGAAGTGCCAACAGCATGCAATTAAAGAGGCTGAAGTTCCCAACTAGACACCCACGATGGACTCAAAATTTGCCCTCCAAATTCAACAACTAAAGTTCTCAATTAAACAATGTAACCATTTTTTTCAAAGCAAGCCGAAGTCCAACAAAATCTTGGGTCAACCGTTTCTAAAATACATTTATATTCATATTTAAATATAATTACGAACTAAGAAACTCTAATGATAAAGAAATTATTGTTGTTCTGTGAGTTTTTGAGCTCAAACATAAAATATATTAATATACGATCGTTTAATATCAAATAATTGAAAATAATAGTTATGAGCAAAAGCCTCGATGGCCTCAACTTGCAGAATGGTCGTATCTGCCTACCATACGAAATTGGGGGTTTGAAAATTCCCATATTCAAAAGCACACATTAAATGAAACAGATGGACCGGTGTGGCTTGAGACGCATATGATTGATTCCTTCTCCACATGGTGTGGAAGCCCACAAGTTTGGAAGCATTAGGAGCCAACGGTTTCTTCTTCTATATTTTCTTGGGGTCAAATCTCAACCTTTGACCTTTGACCTTTGACCCCTTTAGGCACAAGGTTTCCTACCCGGTTGCTTTGTAACTTGTTTAGCTCCTTAAATAGTAAATGAGATGAGATAGATCATAAGATATTCGAGATTAACTCAATAAATATTTGATTGGAGCTTGAGTTTTTAATGAGTCAAAATAAATTATTTGATACCCGACTCAAAAAACTCACGAGCAACTCAAAAATATAATATATTAAGATTTTATTTTTAAAAGAAAATAATTTATTGAAAATATTAACGTTTATATGTTGATTTTTTTAAAATATAGTATAAAATTTTCATGTATTTAAGATTTATGTTCGAGTTTGAGTTTCAATCGAGTTAAGTTTAAGTTTTTTTTTTCATTTCGAACTTTTATGAGCTTCAATTCATGATTTCAAGTTCGAATTGAACTCGAAAATTTTAATTTTACGAGTTTTCGAGTCGAGTCGAGTCAAATTCAACAATACTCGAGCTCGACTAGTTTCACTAAGTCATGGAAATTTGATTGTGGTTCTCTTCTTTTGCCACATTGACATTGGACCACCTGTCTTGTGCTTTGAGTTTTTAATACTAAAAGGTCTGTTCAAATAATTGGTGCATTTTGTTGTCTCGTCATTTGTTGAAATTCCAGGCCAGATTTTATTATTGAGTCGAATTCTTTAAAGCCTAAAGATGAAGAGCTTGTAAGACGGGTTAGGTTTACTCAATTCTGGGTCTCTTTGTGCCTTGGATTCTTTTCCTTTTCGGCCTTGAAAAATGAGTTTTTATTACACGTCTGTACATCTATGTAGCAGTACTCGGACAAGTGCCTCATTTGAAAAATCCATATTTTTCAATTCAAATAAATAAATAAATGTGTACGTACAAACACTACACTTGGAAATTCGAACCACATGCTACCATTAAGACAAAAATATAATACAAGAGATAAAAAGAAAAAACAGAGGCATATTATAAAGTATTTGACAATGAATATTCAATTAGTATGTCAGAGTCGTGGGTTCTTGGACACGTGATCTTTAGAAACAACAACGGTTCTTTTAAATCTATATCTTAGACTTGTATGAATCTTATCTTATTGCTCAAGGATTTTATTTTGCCTTCTGAAAATCACATAACCCTTCAGTTCTATATTTCTAGGCAATACTTTAAGAATGAAAATGTACAAACACTTGGCTTGGAATTAGCAATCACGTGATGCCATTAAGACAAAAACCCCGGCCAAGGAAAAGCAGAGGTTCCTGAAGAAGCTGAGATCTCCTCTGAAGATCTTCCAATCTGAGGACATCATGATAGACGTAGCGACGAACCTGAAGAAGCCTGTGGGAACTATGTGATGGAACGCAGTGAGGGCAGATACTGATGCAACAATCCAAACAAAACACGTTCTTTTCGTTCTTTAATTTGTATTCTCGTGGTAACAACACCCCACGAAGAATTTCTGAGCGCACATGGCTTCCAACCATGCAGGCCTTTGAATCCCCTAAACACACTTCAAATCTAGCCCATTATTTCAATAACTCACAGACACAAAACACCCAAGGGAATTTTGAATTTTGAATTCTGATAGACAAGTGAGACAAACCATGATCATCATTAGAAAGAGTTAAAACAAGAGATCCTGGTGCTTCAGCTGTAGCAGTTATCAAGACAATGGAGTTAGCAGAAGAGAGAAAGAGATTTATTCCTTGGAGAGAGGCTCAAACATTTTGTGAATATATAGGAGGATACATGAGCACCTGTGGCTTTGGAGACGAGAGAGGAATTGGAAATCGGGGGGAAAAAAGCAAGAGAGAGAGATGACAAGAACGTGGGATCTGTTTCCAAGTCTTCATTTTGGCTCAACACTCTCTATGTTCCTAAACTAGACAAAGCAAGTAGGAGACTAGATGGCAGATTGCCACTAAATCCACTCGGACCTCCTTAAAAAATTATAAATATTTCAGCAGCATTCCAACGTGATGGATACATATACTTCTCTCGTGAAATGTCATTATTATTTATATCAGAATTTGCGAGGTCAACAACACAATACATACGTGGTTAATTTATTAAAAAAATATACGAGTGCAGATTCTTCAAAACTTTCAAATATCTGTGTGCGCACACCATTATTGATGTTTCTTTTATTCGGATACCTTACATGAGATTCATTGACCGGTTTAATTACTTGAAACTATATTCAAATTTTATGAATATGAGTTCCCTCTCATTGTAAATGAATTGGATCTGGATGAAGCTGTCGATAAATCTACAATACGATCAGATTATGCACTACGACAAAAAAAAAGGTCGTCCATGATCAGATTATGCAACACTACGCGTTTATAAATAAAAAAAATCAATTTCTCACCCGGAAATAGTTTCTGAACAAGGTTATGGACAATAAGGTGTGTTAGGGAATTGGAAAGAACCTCGCTCTTTGCAGGCAACGAGGCCTCCCATAAATCTCGTGATATTTTGGATCATAAAGGGTATCTCGCGATTCGCAATGCAAGAGGTTATTTTATCTAATTGTTTTATTGACTTACATGGAAAGTACGCCTACATCGGAGTATCTTGTGTGTTGGAGGGTACGAGAACTTAATAAGCGATTTGCAGATCACGAGATCATCCTATATAAACGATTTGAGGATTATTCTTTCAAATAATCTGTGTAGAATCTTATTTCTTTAAATATTTATTTATTTGAAGTTTTTAAAATAAATTTACTATTTGTAATGGCACAAAATGTGCAATCAAACAAAATAGCATAGTACATAAAGTTGTCTAATCACGAAATTTCTTCTTTTTTTTTCTTTATGATCATTGTATATAATCTATTAATCTATTAATTCGGATTAGAAACTCAAATGATAAATGTAATCTTTTAATCTAATTTATTTCATTTTTAATCATCAAGATTCAAATCTCTTACTTTGCTAAAGAGATATAAAAACTTATCCACTAGAACAATGGATTGTTGGTAACTCAACTAGACATTTTAATAATACGATATATTTAATTTAAATATATATATATATATTAATTATTCTTATATGAATATATATATATATATATATATATATATATATATATCTAATAATTACTAGACACTAACACTGTGGGTTCTCCTAAAATTTATCATCTTTTTTATGGGGTTTCGTTTTAACACTCGAAAATATAAAACCTGTCCCCCATAAAGGCCTATGTGGGTCTGTGGTCATGTATCCTCCAACAAGACCCACCCGAAATCCATGATTGAACTATGGGTATTTGGGGTAAAGTTTATAATTTTGAACAATACAGCATTATAAATATATCATACAGTAACATTTAAATAGATAATTTAGGAAATGTTTTTTTAATTAATTACTGATATCTGATTTATTGATCGACTAATCTAGATCGGTACTACAGAGACGAGGGCGATCTTCCCAATTTAATTTGCTGCATTAGTAAATGACAGAGTTTAAACATCTAACATTACTTAAAGAATCTAGTATCTCGTCCCACCAGACCAACCGATTATTGATAGAAAATATCATGCCTCCTCCCACCCGACGAACCAATTGTTGATAGAAAATATTTTTTCTATTATCTGTATATGAAATAATAGCACTATAAATAATATATATGTGATATAATCCTGTTACACAATGTAAAATTATTTTAATTTTACACAGATTTAAGATCATTAAATGAATAAAAACATATGATTTAGGTTAAAAAAGAAATATGAAGATATTTAGTGAAAAAACAAAACACGTCTCCTATGTATACATATTAAATTTCAAGTTATAAAATTTAGGAACTTGTAGTGGGTCCTTACAGGGGGCGAAGTTGTACTATATATAAAAGCAGGCAATTCCAGTAGTGTAGAAATTCATCAGGAAACTTGCACTCAAAGTTCCTTCCTAATACGAAGAAGAAAAGAAAGAGAAACCGAAGACTGAACAATTTTCTCAGCACTTTTGTGTTTTAGTCCTGCAAATGAGTCCTTCCAGTTTAGCAGTATCTTCTCTGGTGTTGTTGGTTCCATTTTCTAGTGTTGAAGGTAAAATTCCACAATTCTTTCTCCATAACATAAGTGTGCCTCCATTATTGTTCAATTCAATTCTGACATCTTATCTTCTTGCTTTTTGTTTTGAAGGGATTCGATTGGAGAAAAGCTTCAAACCACCATGGCATCCTAAATTGCATGTCGGTATCCAATTTCCTTCATTTTTGTATGTGTTCAGTTCAATACAGCTTTAAGATAAAGAAAGGACATAGTTTTATGCAGGAAGAAGCTTCGATGAAAAGCAGTAATGGAGTTTTGGGAAATGTCCTTATATGCAAAGGGCATTGTACAGGTAACCACCGGCACTGGCTACCATGCATATAATTAAGATTACAGTGAACCAAGGATTGAGCCTCCCCTAGGAACAGTGTTGTTCCATATTTTTTATTACCAGGGCTTGAATCTTGCTACTATAATTATTCCTCTGTGTTGGATCAAAAGTTTACCTTGTCTCTTACACCAACTCATATTAATATACAACTCTTTTCACATCCAATTTTTGCGGGAAACGGTAGGAAACTTCTTACTGCAACTGCTGCATCTTTCACCAGTTCAAAGGTTGGTTGACATAGTCACCACTAGTAATTTATTTCTTGAACCCAGTATTTAGTCGATTTTTTCGATCACTCTTTGAATCCCGACATTTGTAACTCTCTTTGACATTATGTGCTCTGCATCCAGAGCGAAGACAGTGGACATGACAAAGCTAACACTATTTCAAAAGTCGAATCAGTGAACCAAGGAAATGGTGAAAGCAAGAGAAAGTTCCCGTCGGTTCGACGACAACTTACGAAGTCCATGACCAATATTCGGACATCGTGGAGATAGCTGAAATGGACTATTCACAAGCCGAGAGAAAAACTCCAATACACAACTAAGAGTGTTGGGGGGGGGGGAATCAAAGACGATATTTAAAAGAAGAATAAGAAAAAGTTGTCAAGATAAGTAAAGGAATGAGAAATTTGACAGCTTTCCAGGAATGCTGCAGTTTTTTAGGGTTAGAGAGAATGAGTCTATGTATATATAATATAGTATTTAATATATAGTTATCTGTTAAACCATCAGTATTGATCATTGAGTACTTTTGCATCCTTTTTGGAGGACCGTTTATATGTTTTGTAACTTTACATTATCATAGAATCAAAAACTGCACAAATAACATATATGAAATGGGATCTGGACAGAATTTAATAAAAGCGTACAAATAAGCATACAAAATGTGCAGAATGGAGGACCACCAAAGATTTTGAATGAATATGAAAATTAAAATAGGCCAGTCTTAAATGAGAGTAGGTCTGGAGCCTTATCTGTAAATCGACCCAACATGTTTCACTTATTGATTATGGTGTTCGAATGGTCAGTGGTCACCCTTACTGAGGCTCACACTCTAATCATTCTTGGTGCTCGGACCTGAAACCTAAAAAAATAACAATAATTTATTTACCACCGATATCACTTGATTCCTGCATACACCCTTACATGTGGGCTCATATGTAGGGGACTCAGCCAAGATTTGGGTGGACCATGCACATGAGAAAATGCCAAGGTGTGGTCTCTTCAACGTGGTTCAGGACAATGTTTTGGGTTCTCTGTTGCAACCACTGATGATAAGAAACGAAGATGAGGTCTTTTGGAGATATTTCATTTCACATATAGGATGGGCCAATGATGCCCAAGGTTGGCTAAGATGGGTTGGGCTGCCAGTTGCGTTATCCCTTTTGCACTCTGCAGGTCTGGCCTGGTCTCTGGTTGCGGCTTGCGAGCGGATAACGTTTCCCTGTAATAGCATTTCTCTGAGTTTAAAGAGTCTAGAGTTGATCTACTTCTTGTCCCAACAACGAAAGTTAAACATCAGTACCGGAGTAGTACACTGCCAGCGTTGCCACCATGGTTCCATTTTGAACTCCAATGGCGACATCGTTTGTTCCCCATCATCATATCGGTGGGTGCTTCACCTATTCTCGCCCTCCTCGTGGACATTTTCATAACCATGGGTGGTCACAAACACCAGTTGCCAGGTATCGTTTGAGACCCATTAATGCTTCGGTTGAAACTCCTTCTTTCCCACTTTTTCAACCTCCCCCACTTGAAGAATCTCCTTCTCAGGTATATATATGCTCCCGCCTTGTCAATTCACTCCGCCTATTAGTTTTTCTTGAATTTTGGGTTTCTTAAACCTTCACGTCACTTTGCTTTCCTTTTCTTTTTGAACTGTTTTCATCATAGCTGGAACGTGCGGATCCTGATTTCTACAAGATAGGTTACGTTCGAAGTATGAGAGCTTATGGAATTGAGTTTAAGGAAGGACCTGATGGTTTTGGGGTCTATGCCTCCAAAGATGTTGAACCTCTTCGTCGTGCCAGAGTCTGTTTCTGCCTTTTCTATACATCCTTCTGTACCTAATCATGTGCCGGTAACTATGCTTCTAACACTTGACTGAACAGGTTATCATGGAAATACCTTTGGAGTTGATGTTGACAATAAGGCAGAAGCTTCCATGGATGTTCTTCCCGGATATAGTACCTTTAGGTCATCCCATTTTTGATATCATAAACTCAACCAATCCTGAGGTAATTGGAGTCTTCCTTTGCACGAAATGCTTAATTGTATCGTACAAGTATTCTGCATTTATTGTTCGATTCAGTGAATGCACTATCACAGTATTTAATTACTGTAATTTGTGTGTATCTTTCTTGGCAGACAGACTGGGATCTGCGATTGGCTTGCCTTCTCTTGTATTCATTTGATAGGGATGATAACTTTTGGCAACTATATGGAGACTTCTTACCTAGTGCAGACGAGTGCACTAGCTTGCTTCTTGCTACTGAGGTGTGTAAAACGGGAAGACACGTAGCATTATCGTTTCCATGTTTATTTTTCTTGTTTTTACTTTAATTTTAGTTCCTTTCTTCTTTTTTGCTAAAATACATTTTTTTTGTATTTGTTGAATTGATGGTGGGGAGTGATATAATTCTGATAGCATTGAAACATTGGGATTTGGTTGTTGAATGGGAAGGATTTTGGTTGTTGGATTTCAAATGCACTCATGAAGTTCATAATTTGCTGTATTGACTACTCGATCAATCCTTGCAGGATGACCTCTCACAGCTGCAGGATCCCGACCTTGCTTCAACTATGAGAAATCAACAACTAAGAGCCTTAGAATTTTGGGAAAAGAACTGGGTATAAACATCCTGTCATTACCGCTCTCAAAGTTTTGCCTCTCACACTACTCTTGTTTGTTTTGAGAAGTTTTTGCTTGCTCTAACAAATAATGTTTGTTTGCTTAACGTCACTCAGCATTCCGGGGCACCCTTGAAAATAAAGCGCCTTGCGCGTGATCCTGAGAGATTCATTTGGGCTGTTAGCATTGCACAGTCACGCTGCATTAACATGCAAGTTAGGATCGGTGCACTAGTTCAAGATGCAAGTATGCTAATTCCCTATGCTGGTATGGTGATCTTGCAGCACAAGGCTCCTCCATCTATGTTTTCTTATCTATGATGCTCGATCAGAAAGTTAAACTAATGCAGGGCCTGACAGTTTTGTTTTTCTTTGGCTTGTTTTGGCTTCACTCAGTTTCTTACTAACTTATCTAAAAGTTGATTGCCATCATATTTCCTTTAAACTATTTCTTCTCTCATTTACATTATATTTTAACGTGATTTTGACGTTTTCATTTGCCGTTGTAGACATGCTAAATCATTCATTTCGGCCAAATTGTTTTCTTCATTGGCGTTTTAAGGATCGCATGGTTGAGGTGATGATAAATGCTGGACAGAGGATTAAAAAAGGAGAGGAGGTATTGTTCTTCCGTAACTCTCTTTTGAATTCTAATATTGTTCGGTTATCACAGCTAATGGTCTCGGTCCAAGCCATCAGCCGAATTAGATCCTAAATGCTTTTTATTTGCAACATGGGTTTATATCCATGATTCCATAAATTTTGACAGATGACCATTGATTATATGAGTGGACAGCAGAACCATATGCTCATGAAACGATATGGCTTCTCGTCTTCTGTGGTAATTAACTTCAATTTTTAATCCTCAATCTACATATTTGAAGATGTTATTTTTTTAAATCTTGTTTAGTGGAATCATGGCAATATCCGTTGTCATTGCAAAAAATGTTTTCAAATAAACTGATGTTTGATGTCTTAATGTGCAAGTTATTTGTACTTAAATTTAACTCTTGAGGCCTGAATGTTGCAGAATCCTTGGGATGTAATACCATTCTCCGGAAATGCACATATTCACTTGGAATCTTTCTTGTCGGTCTTCAATATATCCGGTCTTCCTGGAGAGTACTATCATAACAGTATGAATTGTTTGAACTTTCTAAAACTTTTCAAATGAGAATGGTTATTAATTTTGATTCTGAACCTTTAAGTTCACAAAACTTTCAGGCCAGTTAGCGGAAAAAGGAGACAATTTTGTCGACGGGGCAGTCATAGCAGCTGCAAGAACGTTGCCCACGTGGTCAGACGGAGACGTTCCTCCAATCCCTAGCATGGAAAGGAAAGCTGTGAAGGAGTTACAAGAAGAATGTCAGCAGATGCTTGCACAGTTTCCTACAACTTCTGCGCAAGACCAGAAATTACTAGGTGAACATTTTTCTACCTTATTGTTCCTACTTGACTGTATTAGATTGGAATGTCCATGATCCTAAAATAGGGCCCTGACAGAAGTGGACTGATTTTTGGTTGTCCGAAAGCTTGCAGAGTCCTAATTCTTTAAAAAATGACGTGCCAAGATATTTTCATGGTTTATGGTTGAAGCACTATTTAAATTGGCACTATGAAAAGCTTCTGTTGGTCGTTTATTGCTATAAGTTTTTAAATATCTGCTACTGCTGTTACATTAACTAAGGGTCGGTTTGTTTCCCGTAATTGGAATTACAGAATTGGTTTTCCCTGAATTCCCGTGTTTGTTTCACGTAATTCGTTTTCCGGAAAATGTTTTCTCGTGTTTGTTTCACGTAATTTGTTTTCCGGAAAACGTTTTCCCGTGTTTGTTTCACGTAATTCGTTTTCCGGAATGTAATTCATTTTCCTAGTAACAGAATTTCCTTTGTGTTTTCTGTAAAATGACTTACGGATTTATTTTCCGTAAGTCATTTTCCGAACTTTTCACTTCAAAGCAAAAATACTCAAAATAATTTTATTTTATGAATTTAATTTTAATAAAATATTTTAATATCATTTTCATCAAAATATTAATTATTAAAATATTTAAAATATATTTATTAATATTTATAATAATATAATATTATATTTTTAATATTATATAAAATAATTAATTATATTATAATAATATAAGATATTATATTTTTATTTTAATAATATATAATAAATTTTTTATATATTTAATAATGAATAATATTATTTATATATTTCAATAATATTTTAGTAAAAATATTTAAAATATACTAATATTTTTAAAATATAATATAGCACTATTACTTTAATAAATAATTAATATAATTTATAATATTTTATTTCACTAAAATATACCAATACTAATATTTTTATTAATAAAATTATAAAAATAATATTTAATAATAAATAAATTATTTTAATATTTTAAAATAATAATATTAAGTTTTATGATAAATAATATTACTTATTATATTTAATATTTGTAATAAATAATTTTTAAAAAACTCTTCAACTAGTGGATAAAATGTTTAAATAACATCTTCCAAACATCATAAAACGTTTTTCAGATGTTTTCCAGAAATGTAATTCATTTTCCAGAAATGTAATTCATTTTCCAGAAATGTAATTCATTTTCCAGAATTCAAATTCCAGTAATTCATTTTCCAGAAATTCAAATTCCAATAATTCAAATTCCAGTAATTCATTTTCCGGAAAATCAATTACATGCAAACAAACAGACCCTAAATTACGATAAAAAAATTACATCTGTTCGGGTTTGAAATCGAAAGTATTACTTCTAGCAACTATTCCTATCATCTAGAACATTGTCCATGGTACAATTTACTTTAGTTTCCCTTTTAATGCCACCAGATTCTATGCCAGAAGCAAGGAGGACACTTGAAACGGCAATCAAGTATGCGATTCTGACATAACATACCTTGGCCTTTTCTTTTCATGTTTCTTAATTGCAGTCCGAGTTGAAGCCCTTCTTACATTTTACGTATGCAGGTACAGATTGCACCGGAAACTATTTGTCGAGAAGGTCATCAAGGCTCTGGATATCTATCAAGAGCGGATATTGTTTTAGATTAGTTTTAACTCGATCGGGTTGTTGACAGATTAGCGCATGTTGAAAAGCTAACGACAATGCTTATTTAAAAAAAAAAATTACAGAACCATGGCAAGTATCCGGAACATGTTATGAATGCAGAAAATATCATGGTCTCCATTTGTTTGTTTTTTCGTGTTCTTCACGTCCTCTGCGTGTCTGTCGAGATTTAAAATAAGTAGTTGAATGAAGCTGTTTATGAAACCTTAACGATATTACTGTAAAAATTTGGGAAAAGAATGATGGACAACAGGATTTCCAGTGGCGGGATGATGAAAAGTGCAATGGCAAAAGCAGTGAGCCTCATTGAAGTATTCCTCATTTGTACTTGCGTTGGCATTAAATTTTAAAGGTAAAGTACACAAATGGTCCTTCAATTATAGGATATTGCTTTATTAAGTCCCTTGTATATTGATCATTTGACTATAGAATGTTGTTTTGTTAAGTCCCTCGACTATTAAAAGTTACAAAATGGTTATTTGACTATTTATTATGTTCCAAACTTGTCTTTTTCAGTTAAAAAATTGGCGATCGTCTAAGCTGGACGTTAACGTAATGATTGAGATATGATAGTCGTGTGAGATTCTGGATCAAATTTTATCGTACTACAGTCAGTATGTTAATGTTTAGTTCATAATACCGTCAATTTTTTAACAGAAAAATATAAGTTTGGAACATAATGAATAATCGGATAATCATTTTTAAATTTTCAATAATAAAGGAACTCAGCAACATTCTATATCTACTGGTGATAAAAAGTAGGGTGATCATTTATTTAAGCAAATGGTAGGATGACGAAAAGTATAATAGTTGGGTGACCATTTATGTATTTTACAATAAATTTTATTTATATCTACAATACATTTTATTAGAATTAAATAAATCTTAATTCAAGCTCAAATAACTTGGGGCCTATATTCAATTAAATTTTATTTATACCCATAGAACATTTAATATTAGATCTTATTTAGTTAGAGATAATATATATAGGTTAAAACTAAAAGTTTTACGTCTTTTTTACGACGAAGGATTGACGAAAATTAAAGGTCTTGTTTTTTCTTTTAATAAATATTTTTCATTTCCACTATTAATCACAACCTTAAATTTCTATAATCTGAAATGATATAAAACTCTTAGAGGCTGTTTGTTTATCTCTTAATAGAATCATTCAGCGCTAAATGTTAAACCGTTAAGCATTCAACGTGTTTGTTTATGACATCTGAATAAAGACTATGCTGAATGATTCAGCCCCAATGAACATTCTAATGAACATTCTGAATGATTCAGAATCATTATCAAACAACATGTCACATTCAAAGTTAATTTATACAAAACTTCTGAATCATTCAACATTTGAATCGTTCAACATTTGAATCACTCAACATTTGAATCATTCAACACTTAATCATTTTAAAATAAACAAACACCTAACAATTTGTTCATTTTTTTCTTTATGCAAGCAACGGTGATTTGTTATGTAATGGGGTTGAGGGAATGTAAGATAGTAGGCTGTCCCAATGCCAGGTTGAGAACAATTTTCGTGGAAGACCTCTCAGATAGTCAGAATTATGAATTATCCACCGTGGGACTCGATCCCACGACCACAAGGTTAAGAGTCTTGCGTTCTACCAACTGAGCTGGACGGGCAATTCAAATCATTGTCTATCTAAGTTGACCATAAAAAGTTTTGGTTCCCCTGTTCTTATCATGGAAACACGGATTCCCTATATCAGGTGGTTAATTATTTGATATTGTTAATGTCCTATGATGGTTGCTGTTTGGTTCTATATTGTAAAGTTGCAATACTATGCCTCTTCTCTTAAGCAGTATAGGGATCTTCTAATGTTTTATCGTTATTCTTTAATTTACCGTCGTCTAATGCTTGCAGTTCACGATTTCCTTTTGAATTTTCATGAGGTTTTTCTGTCATGACCATTATTTACTTCCATTTGCAGAAATAAAAGCCCCTGGAATGGATTTACTCAATATCTCACTTTGTAAACCACCACAAGTGGCGATGGTGTTTCGGTTTGGGAATGGTCTGGTTCTGTTTTGGATGAGGGTGATGAGGCTTCAAAATGGTTTACCTATTATCTTGGGAAACCCAGTAGAATGGTTCGTTTTAATGCAGGTTCGTTTGGTTCGAATACATTTCAATCAATAGGACATTAAGTGCATCCATTTGGGTTTATCAAGGGAAAGACAACGATACGATATTCTTGCTTGGTGTTGTAAATGCTAGTATGCTATACGGCCATGTCGGCATAGTGCTGCATATTAAGATAGCTCAAGTCTCATATTTATATGGCCAACAATTTTGCTATAACTTTATTTAATTAATGCAGCATCAGAAACTAGGCCTGCGGATCCTGAGTATGCTCAAGGCATTTCGTAATGTTTTCCGATCAGTACCCGTTCATGCTTATATCTCAGGTTGGCCAGCTTCAGAAACGATTCTTATTTTTGTTCTAACGACGATGCTAATGATGATGACGATAATAATAGTTTAATAAAGCTCAAACCTGATGTTGTAACTATAATTTTTTGCAGGAATCTTTGGATGCACTGAACAAGCTTCTCGACGAACCTGTACCGGTTAATCGTTTCAGACCCAAGTATTTGTTTTTACCTTTTAGGCTCATACCCTTGGTTTTCATTTAGCATGCTGCCATAAACAACACTTCCACAAGATCCACTAAATCCTTCAATTTCAATATCTTAGTGGATGCCTCTCATGATATTTCCAACAGGAAACATGTGTTTGACTCTTGAGTTCGATTACCTCTCTTCTTCTGTTTTATTTATGAATTTATTACATCATTTACCTTGCTTGTGATTGCATCCTCGTTGCTGGTTGTGAGCCGTTTTCCGAAGACCTGTGGACAGAGATTAAGATTAGCTAATTTTCATTTCAAGGTGTGAAACTATGCTCCCGCTGTAAGGTATGAAACTAACCTTCCTGCATTTTCAGCTTATTTCCTGAAAATTAATTTTCATTTGAAGTGCCTTACGATATTAATAACTACACACGCATGAGGATATTATATCAACAAATAGCTAAAAACTAAAAAGATGATTGTGCATTTATCAGGTACCTACAATCAATCAAGATACTGCAATTGCCGGGCCAGAACCGAATGAAACCCTAATGAAAGTCAGGTCGGATAAGGTTTTGCGACCATACAAGAAACAGCCAGGGAGGGTAAGATTAAATTAAAAACTTCTCTGGCGCAATGCCTGTATCCTTCCGAGTACTGTCCACGAAAACGATCCGTATTGAACTATTTGTCCAATGGTATGGCAGATCTACTTCGGGCAAAACTTGGTTTGCAAGGAAAGTGTAACTGAAGGGAAGGCAAAGATGGTTAAAGTGGGAGACCCTATACATGTCATCAAGAAAGTGTCCACTGCTGCTGAGGCAGCTGCTTGAATGCTGAGAGCATTTTTTGAATAATAAAAGCCATAACTCCCTTATACGAGACCGAATCGTCTTCTCTAGTGATTCGATTAGGGTTATAAATAAACAGTGTTTGAACAGCTTTCGATTTCGAGTTTGGATTGATAAACTTCTATTACAAAAGTATATCTTGCATGTTTCAGGTATCGAAAATGCTTCCTAGTTAACTGTCTTATCAAATTATATTAAATTATCGATTTTTATAAAATATAATGATGGATTTTGATGAGTTAAAGTATATGGACTAATTTATCGATTCTAATAGGCTTAATTATAAAATAAGTGTCTAAATTATAGTGTTTTTCATGGATAAGAGCCTAAATTATTTTTTGAATAATTTCGGTGTCTAACGTTATAAACGTTATCACTTTAGGTTACTGAGCAATTAATGGCATTAATTTCCTTTGTTAAGTGACATGTGTCACATTATGGGAATTTTAAAATTTTATATAAAATTAAAATTATATTTAAAATAACATAAAAAAATTAAATAACACCAAAATTTTGAAAACCTTCATTTCAACCTTTAAATTCACATTGATCATCGTCATTTGCCATCGAAGAAGCTCCACCCGACTTCATCTTCCCTGACGACCAAAACCCTTTTGAAATCGTGATCGATGACGACAAATCATCGTTTTATATCCTGTGAATCTTATGATGAAAATCGTGATCTCCACGCGATTCTGACAGCCAATTAACGATAATTGGGCAGCGTATGACTAGGAGGAAGACAAAGACTACACCGACGGTGGTGATCGTGACCGGGAAGGGTGGTGATGACATGTTAGAGTCCTGATTTAGAGATTTTAGGGATTTTGAGTTTTTTTTCTTTTTATAATTTAGAGAAATTAGGATTTTTTTTTTATAAATAGAATATATTTTTAAAAGATAAATTTTAAAATTATCAGATCGTGACACATGTTACTTAACGAAAAAAATTAATGTCCTTAACGACTCATATACCAAAAGTAATAATATTTATAATGTTAGACATCGAAAATATTTAAAAAATAATTTAAATAATTATTCGTAAAAAACGTTGTAATATGAGCACTCATTTGACAGTTTAGTCAATCTAATAAAGTAGAAAGTGATGTCCCATAAATGGACGTGGATATAAGAGGCAGAGCCCGCCCAAGTCCATATTATAGAATTTTTTTTCTCTTTTATAAATCAAAATCATCCTACGACTCTGACTGAGCATTTGCATGAAGCAATCCACGTGCCGTCACCCTTAATGCCTCTGTTTTCTCTCACTTGTTAACCTTCGAAAGTTGGGGAGAAAACAAAAACAAATAAAAAATCACTGCCAGCCAATTTCAATCTCCTTAGTTTTCTCGAGAAAATAAAAAAACCCCAGGAAAAAAATCCGGTGAATATGATTCTCAAAACAACATAGGCGCCAAAAGAATGGATTTCATGAGAGAGAAACAGAGGTAGATATGAAGCTGAGAGACATTAGAAGGGTTAACGGTTCGTTGTAAGCGCCGAAAATGCCATGAATCAAAGGCGGTTCCGGATCACCGCTGACCTGCTGTCGCTGTCTCGTCTACTCCCCATATTCTCTCCCTCCCTCTTACAGCTATTCGTCTTCATTTTTAAATTTTTAGCTATGTTTGTTGCTTTTAGGAAATAGTAGTAACACCTTTCTGTGTAAAAGAACTAAAGAAGT